CTTGCAAGCTTTTAAGACCCTAGGCACTATGCAGTGAACTAAGAGGTAGAACAGAAGCACTAAACATGTTATTAGGCCAATTAACTGCGATATACCATGAAACCATGATCCTAAACGTCCAAACCAAGAAACCAAATCCCAGGAGATTTAAGAAGCTTCAGGAGCTACTCTTTTTTTGTCATTGTTGTAAATATATTTATCACACAACTTTTGTCAATTCAACTTTTTACAGGCATACAACTTAGTGACAGCAATTACAATAATCGGCTGTGCGAACCTACTCTTCATCAATTTGATATTTCCATCACCTTTAGTCCCCCCTTTCCACCTTCCCCCTCCCTCCTACCCCTAGTAACCACCAATAAACTCTGTTCTTTATTAAAAATAAAAAATAAAAGAATCTAGGGAGTAACACAGTGTTTGGTGTGTCTCAATCCCTGACTCTTCTCATTGAAATAAATGGGCCTTTTAGAGACAAGACAGGCATGGGTACAACAGTACAATCCTACAGCCCTGCGAGATACAATTTGATCTTCTGAAGCCCATGCCCTGCCCTCTGTTTGGGATTTAGAAGACCAGGGTGAGTACTGTTCCAAGACTATAACACAGCTCAGACCCATAGAGGAAATAAAAACTGCTGGGTCTTCTTTCTTAAGGAAGTTACTAACTTTTAAAGTCAAACATACTTTTATGCTGTTGGGTTTAATTACTAAACAGTACAACTGTTTGCATTTGAATTCTGACAAGTATTTGTATGTGGACCTGTATGTATACACATGTGTTCATTAATTTGTTGAATTTCCCTAAGGGGCTCTGTCAGTATACTTTAAAATAACCTCTCGCCTTCATGATTTAAACTCCCATCTTTGGAATCCTAGGTCAGGGCTTTCCCCACAGCTGCTATGGAGCAGAGACTCAAACCCAGGCCCCAAACTCCCCCAGTTCAGTACTCTTGCCTCTTGGGCAGTCAGAGTTTCAGCTGGAGGGGACAGGGTGTCACCTCGCGGATAAACACCTCATAAAAAGCACTCTATGTCAATGAAGTATACTGGGTGAGGGAAGACCCAGCTCTCGAAAAGGCCAGTCATATTGCTGGGGCCAGGCCCAGAGAGAGCAACAAACTATCAAGAACAAAGAAGGGGCCTGGCTGGTTCCAAGTCTGCACTCAGGCACACTAACGTTTGACCAATGTTTTCAGACCTGGTACCCATGTGTGAGTTCTTAGAAACGATCCAGACTAAATGGAATATCTGCATTTCATCAACCAGGCAAAACAGGCCAAGTTGAGGAAAACTATAAAGTATCCCAGTAATTACGGGATTCTGTTTTACAAGACCCTAATCTCTCTCTCCTGCAGTGAGTGGCGGGAGCAGGCCCAGGACATTAGCTGGCCTTGGGTGGGCGCCCCTCCTGGTGCAGGGCCGACTTAGGGGCTCTTTCCCTCCAGGTTCCAGGCACTGTCAGTCTGTACACCCTGAATGTTCTCAGTCACCTGGGAGGATTACCTTGCCAAATGGAAAATCCTAGAAGCTGCTTAACCAGCACACTCTAGTGAGATATGGGAGACTGATAGTAATGGCTGAACTGATAATAACCTGGAAGCTAAAAATAACAATTACAACTCTGATCTGTCCTGTGTAAAATCCATCACCTGTCCTAAGAAGGGAACTTATTCCAGCTGAAGTCTGATGGACAAAGCCTGGACTTTAGATCAAGCAGCCAAAAAGAGAGCAGCTCATTCATAAAACTGAACTCGGTGTCCTCTCGTTTTACCCAAGCTCCCTCTAGAGAACTTTAGTCCTGTTGAATTCACTAGATACCCTGTGCTACCAAGTGCTGATCTCTGCAAA